TGATTAGGCGTCGAGGGTACAAGCTCTATGAGCAGAAGGTACTCCCGACTTGTAGTATTCGGGAGGAAATTATAGACACAATTGATGTTTCAGGACTACATTCATTATTGGTCTCCACTAGATTGGATTTCGATACATTGCACGAGGCGATGACGGAGCAGTTTTCAGGGGAAAATATCATTTAAAAAGATCATTTACCTTGATAAAACTTGGGTGAATAAGAATCATTCCACTGACTACATGTGACTACCTTCAGATGGACGAAAAGCACCCATGGTACCATAAAATATAGGCCATCGTGTCATTGTTTTTCACGCCTGGACCCGTGATCTGGGGCTTATTGGTGGACGTGAGCTAGTTTTCAAGGCGTAAGGGAAAACTGGTGATTACCACAAGGATCTGAATGGTGATGTGTTCATTGCCTGGTTGGAACGTCAGCTACTGCCCAATCTATTCTACCCCAGGGTCACTGTCACCGCCCGGGAACCAGATACTGTCGCGCCAAACATGAGTAGACATTATTCCACTTACTTTCTCATGCAAATTGTGTGAGTGGCGGATGTTACCAATATCTTTAAAATCAGATCTTAGTTTTCGCTACCGCTAACCAAAGATCTGAGGACATCCCATTACCGGTCACGTCAGAACGACCTTTGCATTTGATCGACCAATGAAATGATTGACAAGAAACCGCTACCGCTAAACAAAGATCTGAGGACATCCCATTACCGGTCACGTCAGAACGACCTTTGCATTTGATCGACCAATGAAATGATTGACAAGAAACCGCTACCGCTAAACAAAGATCTGAGGACATCCCATTACCGGTCACGTCAGAACGACCTTTGCATTTGATCGACCAATGAAATGACTGACAAGAAACCGACATTGGCCTATCAGAAGGTAGCTTTCTCGAGCTTTACGACACAAGTTTCAAACTGGCGACTACGCTTCGAAACATATTTTGACGTATTCTCGATTAAAAATTTTAAAACTGATAAGAAGAACATTCTGGAATGGCTTATAGATGTCCTAGATTGTATGGATATAATAATAAAACCCGTAACTGTCGTCCGGAATACCCCGTGTTAATTATATCGTGGTTGCATGATTAGAAAACACATTCCGACTGTCACTTTCATGATCTGATAAGCTCCGCTCTGATTGGTTGGATGAAGGGTAGTTCTGACGTGACCCGTAATGGGATGTCCTCAGATCTTTGTTTAGCGATAGCAAGAACTAAGACCTGATTTAAATGAGATTGGGGTGTTACCAGTTGAGCAGGACACACTTATCCTTTTCGCGAACACCTGGTGTCATCACTGCTTTTCAGTGATCCATTCATGTAATTTTCACCTCCAGTTTGCCTTTTACTTCGCAATAAGCACCCAGTCACCTCTCAAGTTCTGCACCCTTCATGGACTCCGTGAACTTCGGTATGCACGGCGGGGTAGCTGGTTAATGGTAAATATCAATTGCATGAAGACGTGTTGTCAAGTGTTGAATATAGTTTTTAAAAAATATGGAGTTGAATTCTTGATACTTGTATGCTTCCATTGCATGGTCATTGTCGGAGAGATACACACACAAGTGCAGCGTCGTCTCTTTAATACTTTCAAGTGAATTACATTAGCTATATTTTTTCCGAAGGTCTTTCAGCGTGCCTCATTGACATTTATTTGTTACTATTACTTCCAATTAAAGAATAAATAATAGATTGTAATAAATAGAAGATTGTCACTTGAAAAAAGTTGATAATTTCACTCGTGGCTGCGTCGTTAATGTAAATGTCAAGTGACGAGATTTAATGAAGTTAATGGTCATGAAAATAAAAATATCCTCTCTTTAGTATGTTGTTAACCATCTGGAAATGGTAATCGACGGTTCACTCGACTGAAAAGACACTTTATGCATTTATGTATAGCAAGCCATCATCATTGTTAATCTAAACGACTGACTTATTTGATTTGAACAATGTTTTATGAAACACTGGTATTCATTTAATACATAACATTTATAAGTATATAGATTAGATGACATGACAACAGCTTACTTAAATGTCCATTCTTGCAAGGAATTTTTATTATTACCTTTAATCAATAAATATCTCTCAATACTTATTTTCTTGCGCATAACATTTAATAGAGCTTTCATGTTAGGGTTGAATTTGTGTATTACATTTTGACGTATGAATGAAGTACTTAAACTGTGTATATATATACCCAATTTAAAGGTTTGGATAAGTGATTAATTAGGGGAAGGCGCCGTGTATCGCCAATACAGTATGCAGAAAGTATAAGGGGAGTGTTTTTATCCTACAAAGGGGGAGCGTTATGATCTTCAGGGGAGTGATTTGGTCCTAGGATGAAATCAGTCTTGCGTTACCTGAGGAGTGACCTGATCGTCCTACACCGGTATACCTCAGCATACGACATTGATATTATGATTTTTAGACTCAGATATATGAAAGAATCACATGTAATGTAACTGCATGTACTACTCTAAATCATTGGTGGAAATACAGGTCATTCATTCGAGCCATTGACAATATCACTTTTGTCGGGGCACTCGATGAGATAACCGTGGATTTTAACCCGAGAACGAAAACTACCTCCTATAAACGAATGAAACTATTATTGTTTTGTCTAATGTGTTTAACATGTTTTGTTGTCGTTAAACGCGAACATCAGAAGCACACTGTCAGCTGCAAACAATATGTACAATCTAGCCAGTTGACTGGCAACTGAACAGTCGAAACATTTTGCGGAATAGAAATAATTATCCATTCTGTTGAAAAATGTAGAGAAATGTATTATTTTTTTCAAAACACAACAACTATATTTACGTTTCCTAAAGCTTCAACTGATGCTTATATACCATCTAAGGAGAGTAAGGAGAGAGATAATGATTTAAAGGAAATATTATGTCATCATAAGCAAATCACGCATGCCAAAGTTCATATTCCTACATGGGCGATCTTTTTCAATTGATTTTCCCTTCACTAATCCCCTTGGTGCGCTGCTCCGGTCGGTTCAATTTTAAACTGTTGTATGCGCGATATGAGCGGCACGTGCTACTATCACACCTCTAGACTGTTAACTAGTGTAGGCCCCACCTCTATCGTTCACGCTGGTGTATGGACAGTATATCTATTTGCCGAAACAATGATGTATCTTTAGTCATGTCCTGAAAAATATGTTCCGTGATTCGGTGATACATTAGGGATGAACACGACTGCTTATATTGTACAGTTAGACACTTGGTAGTCGTTCGAAGCGATTGGTTGGTTGGTTGGTTTGTTGTTTTACGCCGCACTCAGCAATATTCCAGCTATATGACGGCGGTCTGTAAGTTATCGAGTCTGGACCAGACAATCCAGTGATTGACAACATGAACATCGATCCACGCAATTGGGATCGATGACATGCATCAACCAAGTCAGCGAGCCTGACCACCCGATCCCGTTTGTCGCCTCTTACGACAAGCATAGTCGCCTTTTACGGCAAGCATGGGATGCTGAAGACCTATTCTAACCCAGATCTTCACTCAATGAGTTTTTGTGTGCGATTGGTATTGATAGGTTTTTGTGTTAGTATTTATAGAATATTTATTTCTCCTTTTGACAGTTGAAGTATCACACGAATCGTCCTCCTTTCAACTCACCCAAAGAGGTTTTACGGACCCAGTTCCAGTTACCGAGCAGTGAGTCAGACATTTCGATTTTAACGGAATTTCATTGTCCTGTACCTACTTGCACCAGGGGGCGATGCACATCGTGGAAGACACTCTGATGACACAAAGAGATGCAGATGTCATCAGCCTCTCACGACCAGACAACATGGCAAGGAAAGCCAACAGGGTAAGGCAGAACATGCGTCCATAAGATCCCGACCAAGCTTGATTTTGAGGTAAGCTATGACTATATTCTATACATTTGAAAGTTGACATTATATATCAGCATGGTATGTTGCATCTTTGTTTTCCTAGTCTTTTTATTGGGTGGGGGCTTAATTGAAATATGAGACTTTCTGCTTTAACAGCTAATAGGTAAGCATGTGTTTTCCAAAACTGGACCCTCCAAATAGACCTCCGTGTCAAACTGAATGATCAAATATATGGAAGCAGCACTTGAAGCCCAAGATTGCTGCTTGAAGCTATATTCACTACAGTTGTTCGAATATTGAATAGTTCTTCTGTTAATGATACATCTCTTTTTATCAACACCAATCCCATACTTCCATGACCTCGATGAGTTACAGTCGCCATTTTCAGTGAGTAATGGACTCAGGAATGACAAACGTTATTGACAGATCGTGTGTTGTTGTTTTAAAAGCAATGTTTATTACAAAAACGACCAATTTCTACATGCATACAGTGCCAATCCTTCAAAAGCCTTTGCAATAGTAAGTGAGATAGTTCTTAATAATAATTTGAAAAAGAGAAATATTCACAAGCTGTTTGAATGGGTTTGGATACATGTGTTATCAGTGTCTGCAGGTCATAATGCTTAAAACATGACAAATTACACCAACGTGACCAATGGTAGAAAGTTTTTAAGAGTGAATAAATGTGTGAGGGGACTGGGTTTAACAAACCCGCTTCGTCATGGCGAGGTTGATGTGGGGCAGGTCGAGCAGGTCCTTGTCATTTAAACGTGTAACCGTGTGAGGGGTTTAACACCTATATTATCTATTAAGTATTTCCGAAGCACAACGGTACAACATCAATATGAAGCAGTAGGCTGTAGCACAGTGATTTAATATATCCCAGGGGACCTCCTCATAATAAAGAAGTTGACATCCGAATATTCTCTTCCTCATGTGTATCACTTCTTAATGCCTTTCAAAGACCTGATCTCATATCGTTCAGTAACAGTCAAATAGCCAATTCCCTTCCACTGATTTACCCACTGAACTAGAAATAAAAGAGACCAGAGACACCACCTCATCTTTTTCATATTTAGATCCACTCACCGTTTCGCGAACACATGGTGTCATCATTATTTGATAGCATTTCATTAATACATACTATGATTTGGTAGGAATCGTACTCTGGACAGTGATAAAGATTTTTTTATAATGGAAATGTCTTTTGTCACGTTTGATGATTATTGAGATTCGTTTCTAACTAAAAATGTTTTTTAATCTGATGCTATATCAACTAAGATTACTGAAATTAAAGAAGTGATCATCCAGTATATTTAATCTTAATTCTATTACTGTACATACGCTGGACCCATTGGTCACCATACATTTCTTTTGAGTCTTGTAATAGACGCCCAATCACTTCACACTTTTCTCTTATGATTGAAACAATTGGTAAGATAAAAATACCAGTCGACATGACAACTGAAACCGAAAAATGTGCTTCGTGATAAGAGATCTAGAATTGAAGCTGGCGTCATCATTTCCGAAACGAAGCTGTGTCGGCAAACGGGTCCAATTTGGAGATTTGAGAACGTATAGAATTTTGGATACAGGTGTAGGAATAGGCCGTGCAATAAAGAGCGACAACAACCTATCGCAACGACATTGATCAGTACTTGAATATCTGACCTTGATCAACTTAGTGTTTGCATTTTGCCATTTCACGAACGCGGTAATACAAAAATGTGTAGATAAGAACTGTGAAAGTTTCAGGTTATTTTTCTGAAGACTCCTAAGGCCTGAGCAAAGTCACAAGGTCTACATTCATCTCTAAAATCAGAGAAAGTGTTTAGATATGTTTATAAGATACACATAAGAACACAAGCATTTTTATCGTCCATATAATGAATGTCTATAGGTATGTTGAATACCATGTTTCTCCATGACTTATTAAACATCTGTTCATATACATATGGCCTGTATAACTTCATTGAACATATTAATAATCACAATCATATATATAACATCGTTTGAGATTTTAATTTGATGTTGGATTGTATAAGTTCCAAATCTGACAAAATTCAGTAGTCACACGCCTCTCCTGCCCAGATCATACACATAACATATGGACACATATCGAAAAGAGGTAGGACAAACAACCCTTTAACAAAATGTGCCGAAGACCCAGCCAGCTCCCGAGGAAGAAGCGGAAGTTTCCTGGCCACTTCCTGTCTGACATTCTCCAGTCAGTCTGTTGAAGTTGAAGAACAGACAGTTGTGGAGTCTGTAACAGTTGATGCTGCACTCCACGAGACTTGAGGCATTACCACGTAGCATGGTGATAGAGGAGTCATCCAGTTTGTGGCCTTCTTTCACTTGTAACTTATTCCTCAAGCATCCACCTGTAATTTTCAATTCGTATACAAATTTGTATATCTAATGACTCATTGTGCCATTCAGCACACTTCCAGCTCAGTCATGGAAATATGTTCACCAGGACATTCTGAACCAGTTTCTGAAGAACACTGATCGATGACACTCAAGCAGCCAGAAGCGTCCCATCCGGTCCCAATCTTAGCATTATTCTATTGCGACTTATGTTACTTGTTAGTTAACGTTGATGTGATACAAGTAGTATAAACAGCCACACCCTAGTTAATAGTATCCTTTATAGTTACCTAAATGTCACTGTGGTCAAACCTTTTTTTAGAATAACATTTATTCTGATCTTTTTTCATTGTCCCGATTTTGAAAGTGAAATAAAATACATTTCGATTTTGTAAAAGAAACATTTGGTCCTGTCTTCAGGGAAGTTTAAATTTTCCAGAGTGCCATTTATAAATGTCTCACCTATATTCTGTCCAAACACTTGCATCTCACACATCATCATGTGAGTAGAGGAGGAAACTTTTACATATCTGGCCATGACCTCCTGTTCACAAGACACAGTCTTTGATGGACCTGTGAAACTGCCGAGTTGGTTGACGCAGACTTTCGGGGATGACAGAGGACAGAGTGTAGGATGCAGATCAAAGCCGACGATTTTAAAAAGATCTGGGCGACCTAAAAAAACATATGATTCATACAACGGAGTGTTATCTCGAGCAAATAGTTTCATACGAATTCCTCCCTATGCGTCCAACTAATGTTTGGTCGTTATCTGATCAACTGACCAAAAGTATGCCCGATGCAATTCCCTATTTTGACTGGTACCATATGTTCCCATGCTTTTATAGGTGAAAATGGCCTTACCGTTGCGTGTCTTTGTGAGCGGTGACCTATTATCATGGTATCAGCATTATTTGATAGCAATTCATAAACACAGCCAGACAGATATATTTGTACGAAGGCCAATTGACCCATTGTTCATTGTAAATACATTATATATTTTTGTCTAAGAGTTACCTGATTCATACTTCTTTTTTTAGAACACCTACATTAGAATGTATAAAAGTTAATCATTGTATCATAATGATAACTGACAGAGTCTTTCTAAACAAAAATAATGAAGATTAACTGTTTATGGGATATACATTTCCCGCCGACTTGCATAAGGAGGACAATAATATATTACATGAAGTTCATCCTCAATTACATGACAGTGTTTACATAAGACGGCATCATCCGCAATATCCCTATGAAAAAGTTCAATACCAAGAGTATTTTGTCCATATCAAATTCACATGATCACGGAATAGTCGGAATTGTAAATGGAATTCTTATTTCAGAAGAGATTTCTTAAGATTATGGAGAAATGCTTTATTGCTTATATTTACTTTCATTTGCAAAAAATATTATTTATTTTTGCCCCAATTAATCCTTTCCGAAGACAAGTTGTACTAATTTCATGGAAGCTAAACTGTAATGTTTGCTAATCTTCCCAACTTACCCAGGGAACCTGTTCTCCTGAAAACAGTGATCCTCGAAATATTGTACACATGAAGAAGGTCCACCATCCACCAGACGTGACCACCACGTGTGTGCATACAGCCGTCAGTATTGAGGTTTCCACCTGTTACACCATCCACAGCATAGAATGAAGCAAAACTGTAGTACGTGCTTGACTGAATGGTTGGTTTGCCTTGAGCTATATTTGTCTGAACGGGCACTGTAAAACATAGAATATATTTCGAGATACGTATATGACAATGTTTCGATTCAGTTTCTATGGAGGAACATGCGATGTGGTTAACTTACATTGGTTGATGGTAAACGCCGCACTCAGCAATATTCCAGCTATATGACGGCGGTCTGTAAAACATCGACTCTGGGCCAGACAATCCAGTCATTGATATCATGAGCATAGATCCACGCAGTTGGGATCGATACATGCAAGTCATCCAAGTCAGCGAGCCTGACCCCCCGATCCCGTTAGTCGCCTTTTACGACAAGCATAGTCACCTTTTACGACAAGCATGGGTTGCTGAAGACCTATTCTACCCCGGAGTCTTCACGGGTCTGGTGAACTTACAATATGGCTCCCGATATTGCGTACGCATGTGAGTAACCGCATTTTACAAATATAGTGTCATTCCCTGGGATATCAATTAATGAATAAATTTCTGGATAAGTATCATCTTTTATCTCAATTTCAAATCCTAAACAGCCCTGTGCCATTTGGATTGGTGATTTGGATATATCATCAGTCATATATGAAGCATAATAAATATTCATCAGCAAGAACAGCTTCGATTCTTATACTATTTTAGTTTGAGAGGCATGGCCAAGACCCATGATAAAGTGATAGGTGTCTCCGAACCTATTTAGGATACATGCTTAATGTGAGTTTGAAGATGAAAGATCGGATCACAGTGGCAACAATTGTATGTACTGCCGTCTATAGACCTGACTTTTGCATTGTCCCTCTTGACGAAATTCTTTATATTATATTATATATTTGCTTAGTTACCCAAAATGTCAGTTTAATACCGCTGTATTTCTAGGGTTAAACAAGCTAAATCTTTGTGATCTGTCCTTCCCAATTTCGTTTTCAAGCAGTGATGATCATGCCATACTGTTACACGTAACCTTATACTGCAACTCAGCCACTCGCTTGATAGCTTCACATGTGTTAGCTGATCTTAACTAAATATAAAGCACAAATACAACCCACAAGACCTGTTGCCTGTGTTGCAGTTTCTTTACTTCTTTTTTTCTTTAATGACAAGCAGCAGACTCTCTTCACTTGTACAGAGCGTACGTTATTCAAAATTAACATACCGTTTTAAATTAGTTAAAATCAATTCAGTAAATGCGCCATCGTGTAACTTGATTTTCTGGTCCAACACTTATGAACTTATGAACAATACAGACATGTAGAAATTCGTTATCACTCGACTGTCTGGTTTGTATACAAGCTGCCGTTGTATGGCAGTGCGAGTATTCCCGTGCGACTCCATGCAACAAAGAGATGGAGATTCTAAGAGTGGTGGATGGAGATGTTTCGGTACAGTAGCTTTGTCAAGCAAGTGTGAATAATGAACTTGGTACATACACTATATGCTTGATACATTGCTGAGTACAGCGTTAAACAACAAACAAAGATATTATCCCGTGGTCTCATTACTGTATATCCTCCATTGTACTGTATATCATCCAAGAGTGAATAATAAACTTGGAACAGAATATATATATAAGATTGAACACAGTTTAAATAGGGTAGCGCTTTCAACTCGTACCACGTACGCGTCTCATGATCATCAGGCCATAACTACATAACATGCTTCTAAATGTTCACTGAGTGGAATCGTGTGTTTGAAAGAAGAATGAATCTTCACAGTTCACAAACAAAGCAGCCACACAACCGCACGATTCCACTCAGTGAACATTTAGAAGCATGTGGAAACGGAAACTTTTTAGTTTTCCCGCTATATCAGCTAAATTTTTATCATGAACCTAAATTGTAGCAAAAAGAGCAACATTTCATTCATTAAATAAGTTGAATGTAAAGGCGTAAGTTATTTTTCCATTGTCACCTTGGTATCGTAAGGTCATAGTTTTCCTAAATGTTATGACGTCATGTAACTATATGTTACTACTTCATGTCCGTTATTCAGATATGGCCTGATGAGACTCGTACGTAGTGGAGGATATATCATGTCATCTGCGCAATATGGTTGGATAGGTTGGTTGGTTGGTTTTGTTGTTTAACGCTGTACTTAGCAATATTCCAGCTATGTGACGGCGCTCTGTAAATAATCGAGTCTGGACCAGACAACCCAGTGATTAATGTCATGAGCATCGATCCACGCAGTTGGGATACGATTACATGATTCAATCAAGTCAGCGAGCCTGACCCCCCGATTCCGTTAGTCGCCTCTTACGACAAGCATAGTCGCCTTTTCCAACAACAGGATAATAATAAGGATACATCATATTGCTACAGTATTATCCTTAACGGGATAATAAGGATAATATTGTACTAACATGATGGACAGAGAACACGTGAGGAACCAATTAAACAGGATTTGAATACATAGGTGGGTGATTATTGCTTAATAAGTTGAAAGAAAGAAGTTGTTATCCATAAATTGAGTCTACTTTGTCATCCGTCAACGGATGTAATCAAACAATACAGATATAAGAAGCCAAACTATTAATGTGTGCCTTGATAACCCTGTATGCAATTAAATCCAAACGTATTGAGAATAACAGGAACCTTTGGTCCGTAACATCATTCAAAGACTTAACACCTCAATGGTAATTATGTTACACTAATGATGGAAAAGATTACCCATAACAAGGAGAATGTAAAATCTCCGCCATAGCATAACGGCAGCAACAATGTTCTATTCTTTTAACAAAGGTTGTGTGTTTACGTTTCTATTTTGGGTGTAGTTAATTAGCTTGTGATCAGGTTCGTCTTCGTTAAAATGATATGATTCAAGTGTTACATTGGTGTATGAAGACATGGAACTTCTTATGGATTACAACATTACTTCTTTATCCATAAAAAAGTTCACGAGAGCATGGTTTTTTTTCTGTATGTCTATCAAATATGAATTGTCAGTGCAAGAATAACCAGTCAAGATTATCTGCCGAAACAGATTATATTGGGCGTAAAATCCAAAATAGTCATGAAATTATATGAAAGGATCACTGACAATTAGTGATGATACAAGATGTTAGCGACAAGGATACGCATGCTTGTTCTACTGGTAGCACCTGCCATTGACACAAGTTTAACAAGGCGACAAAGTCATCGATATCCCCCAAATCCCAAATTATCAAAAGGTACCAGTTCAACACCAGACCCATTTATGTGCCAAGTTTGGTGAAGAAATATTGTACGGTTCCAAACTCTGCTCCTGAAGTGGGAACTACTGCCATTTCCAGCCAAAGTCAAAGTTGCTGCAATTGAAACTGGAAATCATATTTTGTACAACCAAACTACCAAAAGGCGCCGTTTCCAGCATCAAAGTTGTTGCCTACGGAAGCGCTGAAGGGCCATGAATTGGAGCAAAAAGTTTTTACATATAGTGCGCCCGAGATACTAAAGCGTGGGAACGAAATGATCAGACATCATTGGGACAAATACATTATATCGTGCGTACAAAGTATTTTACCGTGCACACGCTTTAACAATGCCTCGTATTCTGCTAATGCTACACATAAAGTTACGTTGCAAGTAGTCCTTGTAAGTGGCTGGCAAAGTCTACGTAAAAGTTTGTCGCCCAGTGCGTCGCCGTGTTGCTGTCTACAAACTCCACTTAAACACTTCTTGTCGTAAGATGCGACAAATGGGATCGGGTGGTCAGGCTCGCTGACTTGGTTGATGCATGTCATCGTATGCCAATTGCGTGGATCGATGCTCACTATATCAATCACAGGATTGTTTGGTCCTGACACGATTATTTACAGCCGCCGTCATATTCCTGGAGTATTGCTGAGTGCAGCGTTAATCAACAAACAAACAAAGCACCGCTAAGAAGCTATTATAGAGGGTTTTTGGTTTGCGATCGGAATATGTTTTCGCCAATGCATACATGAACTGATGGTCGTCAGGCTGTGATTATGAATAAATGTTATCTGCATACATTGTGTACATTTCCTGTTAATTGTCAACTCTGAAGACCAACAACACTACATACTTGCATTGGCGTAAGGAAATACCATGCTATCTGGGTAAAACAGATATTGTTTTTTACTCATTAATTAAAAACAATAAGCGCATTGGTCACAGCGGGTAAGAGGTGTATATAACAACGGAAAAAAACGTAACTGTGCTTCATATAACGTCAATAAGATGCAAAAGAGTAGAGGATATTTTGTGTTGATGTGAAACTACATGAAAATACTCCAATGTCTGGCAATGAAAGTAAGTGATTTTTTTGCAAGACCATTTCCGAAATAAATAAGCTCCCAAACACAACCTTGTAACAGGCATGAAGCACGTGACTTCGTACATCACGTGCAAGGGGTGGTATGCCATACTTGCCTCGGTTGTGAGAAGACGGATATTGTTTTATTAAAAGCAAACGCCAAAAGACACTTTACTAAACTCATTTAATCCTTGGCTCGCAGATTTGGATAATGCATGTCATCGTATCCCAATTGCGAGGTGTGCGGGCTCAGCCAATGTCAGCGCTTACAGATTATGGATGGTTGCTAAGCCTCGGTTCCACACAGCTTAAGGGGCGGTCGGGTGGCGCAGTGGTGAAAGCGTTCGCTCGTCACGCCGAAGACCCGGGTTCGATTCCCGACATGGGTACAATGTAGGAAGCCCATTTCTGGTGTCCCCAGCCGTGATATTGCCGGAATATTGCTAAAAGCGGCGTAAAACCATACTCACTCACTCCACATAGCTTATAAATACATTCCATGCTTAAAGCACCATAGAGACGTCACAACCCCTGTCACAGGAAGTGACAGTTCCTATACAAACATATATTTCACATGACATCATTTGTCAATGTATCAAAATAATACCAAAATATAACCCATTCATACACTGTATAGGCGGTGAGAACATGTTGGTTGAAGTCACGTGACCTCAAAATGTTCTCTCACAGGGTCAAGTCATTCACAAAAGTACAGGTTTTATCTATCTCATGAAGAGGAGGGACTAATTCCCACGTTTCCTGCAATCACTGATCATTAAGCTTACCAAATCCAACTAAAATAGGAGAAGCTACAACTGTAAACATGTTTTAATTTGATAAATGACATTCCCCAGATTCCCCCTCGAAGTGACCAAGAAGGAAAATAAATAAATCTTGCACCTTACTGATACCATCAAATTCCACTTACAGATATGTTACTTTAGGTCAGTTCAATACCATCTGTTTTAATTTGTCTTGACTGATATGTCATTGAGGGTCTAATTTATGGGGGTCTAAACTGATGGTTTACGGGTTGTGGTGTTTGACATTTGGTTCCTTCTGTCTTAAGCTGTCTGGACACGGTTTGTCAATGTTACACACTGAACAGACATTTGCGCTTAAATAAATCAGAACTTAAATCTCAAATATGTATTGGTTCGTTAGTTTGATTAGGAATAGTAAACCTTCACAACACCGGAAGTAGTCACGTGACCTTAGTCAGTAAAATGATTGGTTCAGACTTATCGTTTGCGGTAGGTAGCAGATTATCATTGTTACTGTTAGGGATTATTCCTTTTGGATTATACCTTGGATATTGCATTTTTATGCTCAATCAGGGCTAAATTGTGTGCTGTATCTGTTATTGTCTTGGCACCTACTTGGAATACCATGTGTTTTACTCACTGTCTATCGTCATCATGCTACTTCCAACTAACACCACTGGAAATGTGTAGAGGTATGAACATATTGGAAATTTCGACCACTCTTAGACTAATGAATTCTCAAGTGGAAAATATCAAGAGTACCTCTGTACCATGTGAGCTAGTGTGTGCATTATTATTATAATTATTAATATGTAGAACTTTAAAACATTAATGGTATTTGTTTCTTGTGAATGTATGAACATTTATTACCTACGAGGGCAAACATATCGAGGTTAATAAAAATAATATGTGCCTTAGGGTCTAATCACGTCATGAGACAACAGTGTTTTGTTTCTGTCATCCGGACGGCATTGCTGACGTCATTCGAATCATATTGTGACCTGAGGTCGGAATGACGTCACACTAGAAACGACGTCATAGCTGAAGACGTCATTCGACAAATTGTGGTTCAGCTGCTGTTGCGACATGCTGCCCTTGTAGGTAAACACTAAAATTCGTCTCTGTGTGCACATGTAGACATCATCTTCTAAGTATAACAATATATGAGTGTTCATGTCATACTATGTTTAGACACTCGTATCGTGAACGTAGTATGACATGAACACTCATATCATATCCTCTATTTATGTCATAAAAAATCAGGTAGAAAGTAGAAACAAAAGAAGAGGAGAAGATATGGTATCATTATGGTAGCCCATGTAGTTCCTGTAGAGGTACCGATACAGTTGGGAATACTTACCAAAGATGGCCTTAATCATGCAATTTATAAACATTATCACTCAGGTGAAAAAGCATTAATATTTAGTGAATACATTTCGTCACATTGAACACCAATAAAACAAAGTGTTGTTTTAGAAAAACCTCTGTCTGTCCAGTTGACAGAGACTAGATAGTTATCCTGTCGTCAGCAGGCAAACTATCTTTGATGTATGTAGGTCGCACTTGAGAAAGAGGCTTGTTTATTACCGGAAAAGATATCAATTACACAATTGAAGCTAAACTCGCACACTGGTAGGTCGATGCGAATGATGTTGTTCACTGGATTTTCTGGTCCAGCCTCGATTATTTAAGACCGCTGTAATATAGCTGGAATATTGCAGAGTGCAGGGTTAAGCAACAAACCATCCATCAACATAGAGGTGACGTTGAAGCTTTAAAAAACCCAACTAACTTCTGAGTAACGTAACATATTCAACTTGAGCGCAAAAACATAGCCAATACTTACCTGTTACCTCCAAGGCTTCCAAAAGGAAACACACGATGGTATAAAGTAGGTTTGTCAAGGATGTCATGTCTGCGTCGATTCTGCGTTGTCGCTGATCTTGGAGCACCTCCTCATTAGGTACCGATATCAAATGTTCGGTCGATCACTTTGTTACACTTCTTTCAGCAGATACCTTTGCTTCTGTAGACAAATATAGAATAATTCAAGAAGTTGTAAGCTGTGTGATGAAAGCACTTACGTTCAGAGTAGTAAATAGGCCATTTGCTATTAGAATGGATGCGTTTTATCACCAATCAATGGTAGGACTGACCCGTGAAGTAACCTACTCATGTCATAATACGTGGCCAAATGGATCGGTTGGTGACACTGGATGGTTTGGCTGATTGTGCGTCATCGTACCCGAGTCACTGAGTCACTGACTACCTGTTCCATCACAATCAAAGTAGGTTGCTGGGGACCAATGCTATAAGCGGAATCCCCATTGGTTATGACAAAGTATATCCTCTTAACCAATGGTAGCAAGCTTATAAGAAAAACAGCAGAGACACGAACGCTCACAAATGCCCCATTAACACATGTTACAGGAGGCTGAACTCCAACTTAGGGCCCAGGGACATTGGGGAAGTCCGCATGTGAGGGTCTGTCTGACATACTCCTAAAACCATGTTGTAGTTCAAAAACACTACAGTGGCGTGTGTTGAAGCAATCGATGGTGCACGTTAAGATTGGAGGCAGTACCGCGGGAGGGAGGAGCTATCTAACTTGTGAACATTGCGTACATGGACGTCTTTCCCCAGGCATTAAGGAATGAATGAGTTTGGTATATCGCCGATTTGAACAGTTTCAAAGCTAGCCTGTTTAATCGAAATGGTGCAGGTCTTACACTTTTACCGCTTTTGTAAATTTGACCGTTTGTTGTTGAACGCCATACTCAAGCTAAATGACGTTGGTCTGAAAATATTCAAGTCAGTGGTTGCCATAATGGTCACCCATCCACGCTATAGGGATACGATCACATGCAATCAACCAATTCAACGAGACTGGCCACCTGATCCATTAGGTACAAGGTCACTTTGGTGACCTCGTTGCCCTCGAATATTTGAGTAGAGGTACGACGAACACGGTGACCTCGAATAATTCAGTGGAGCTATGACGTACATCTATATATGACATTATGACATTGATAACACACATGGTATTGGGAGTTGGACTTTTGTAAAACACAACTAAGCATTATTTGGCAATCTTTCAATTACGAACCACATTAATTCAAACTCTGGTGCATAGGGTCTCTGTAAACAAAGTGAACGTCATGGACATTTTTCTAGGGCAGATGATGAAAGCGTTCGCTAGTCACGTCGAAGACCCTGGTTCGATTCCCCACATGGAACACACACCGTGATATTGCGGCATTGTGCGGGCGTGACTCACGATACCAAAACCAACTTAGAAAAGCTTCCGTAATGATGACAATGACTATTTGTAACTCACCATGTATTGGAGACCATGTGATTATATAAAATATACTCTTCAAAAAAAGAAACTTAACATAGATGTAAAACCACTTTTTGCCAAATAATTACATTAAATGAGAACCAAATAAGTCAAACAGAAAGATGATGTGTCTATTATGCGCGAAAACACATGCAAAGCACATAAACGTAGCGTTTGGGGATCAAAAACGTGCAGCACAGGATCCTGCATTTAGGCATGCAGGCCCCCCTGCTGAATGGGTATAAAAATCCACATCAACGGCTGTTCATGCAGTCCTTATAACGGCAGTAGAGGCGGTGACAGAATGCCAAGACTGAATGCAGCTCAACGGAACAACGCCATTGGGAGATTACAAGCTGGAGCAACTCAGCAAGAAGTGGCCAGGCACTTTGGCGTATCCAGACAGACAATCTCCGCATGCGCACTTCGGACCCGATACAACAACACCAACAGAGTTGACGACAGACCAAGGTCAGGAAGACCATGGGTGACAACCCAAGCACTAGATCGATACATCCGGCTGCGACACCTCCGAGACCGCACTACCACAGCCACGTCTACAACCACACAGATCCCTGGGGTGCGCAGAATATCAGATCAAACGGTACGCAACAGACTGAGGGAGGCTGGACTTTTTGCATGAAGACCTGTTCGACGTCATGTATTGACCCCACGTTATCTGGCGGACCGTCTGCTTTGGTGCCAACAGAGGGTTAGATGGGCACGTGCAAGGTGGAGAAATGTACTGTTTACTGACGAGTCCCGTTTCCTACTCCTACTGCTGATGGGCGCGCACGTGTCTACAGACGTCGGGGTGAACGTTACGCCCCCAACTGTGTGCAGCAGGTTGTCCCATTTGGCGGCGGGAGTGTCATGGTATGGGCCGGAATTCATCACGGTGGTAGGACGCCTCTCGTACATGTGGCAGGTGCATTGACAGGTCTGCGTTACAGAGACTTGATCCTACAGCCTTACGTTCTTCCTCACGTCAACGTTCATGGCGGACAGTTCCAGCAGGACAACGCTCCACCGCATATTGCACGTGTTTGTCAGGACTTCTTACAGCACAACAACATCCAGACATTACCTTGACCAGCCCGGTCACCAGATTTGTCCCCGATTGAGCATCTGTTGGACGAGTTGGATCGACGCGTTCGCAGAAGGAATCCACCGCCCCAAACACTTCCGGCGCTTCTTGATGCACTTCAGCATGAATGGCAGCACATCCAACAGCGTGTTATTGACAACTTGATTGCATCTATGGGTCGTCGGTGTCAAGCGGTGATTGATGCACGTGGTGGGCACAACCGATACTGACATTTTCTGTACCCCTGTGACATTAACTGTATCGTGTACGTGTGTCCGTCTAGGTGACACGATTAATGTTTTGAACATTGTGTACATTGCTCTTCAAACAGTGTTTCAATTATGGTTTCTGTGTCCTATTTTGAAACAATCGCATTATATTACATTTTGAAAGTCAGTGTCAAGTTCCTTTTTTGGAAGAGTATATATCAGCTTGAATGAAATTCTTATTGTTTACTTTAAATAAATCAAATTACAAAGCATTTCTGACCGAGTGTCTTGTTTAGGTGAACGATTGACTTGCATTTGCATGCGTTTGTGACAGGTTTCTATTTGTCCACTACATACATTCCGTTCCTGCTGCCTGACCAACGTCTGAAGCTCACTGATCATCATGGTGACAGGGGAGAAAACATCATGGGGATGCACGACCTCTTGTTCACACGCCCATTGTTGGAAGGACCGTTTAAAGCTGTTAATACGGACCTCATGGGATGCTGTTGAACAGCACAGTGGGAAGCGGACAGATCCTTCAAATGCAAGAAGTGACAGGGTGACGAAACATCATATATAATTAATTTGAGTCTGGTAAAACTCAATACCGTGATTATCGCATGGATGCCTCAGAAATGCAATTAAAAATAACCGCACCCAATCCATCTCGTTAATTTCTGCTTCTGACAACAATGACACTGATTGGCATTGTTGATCGATGCTAACGTCATTAAAACAGTTCAATGTGTTACACGATGCCTATCTACACTCCTTCTCGAACACTCTTGTAAGAAGTGAGTATTGTTAGAAATGAAAACTTACAAACAAGAATTAATTTAATAGCATGATCTAATCTATTAGATCGTAACAAAATGGATTCTTCGAAACAATGGCATGAAGAACAATAAAAATAACTTAATAAAGGCAACAGAATGTAATTGTATTGAACCTATTGAACCTATTTTACTACACGAATTAATAATTTGGTTCTTGTGAGTGGGTACAATCATTGTCTTTGACGTCGTGTGTATTTGGTAGCGATGGTTCCCGAGATCACGAGGATCAACTTCGTAATTGTATTTGTGTGGATAACAAACCCTTGATGCAAAGATTTAGCTCATTAATTGTTCATACGTGATCACAGGTTTCTCCATCAGTTGGCACATTATAATATACCACGAGAATGAGTGGGTGCGTGATTGCGGACGTATGTAACAAAGTATTGTGTATCGAATTACTCATCGTATATAATACTGATACATTCTCAAATGTGGAGCAAATAAAATCGACAAAACCCTTTCCATATTCACACGAAAGCAGAGTCGATTGTACTATTCCAACTACATCACGAGCATGTGTTTATGAATCATATGTCTATTTTATGAAACAACTTTTACAATTTATGCAAGAAGCATGTAAAGATTAAGGAAACATTAAGACATTAAAGTGTAATTAAAGGTAGCAATATTTTCCGAAGACGGACAAAAACGTACTTGAAAGTAAGGTCACACACACTGGACATTTTACAAGCAGCATATACTCAAACTTTCCAGTAAAAATACAGGAGCTTGATTTTGGAGTAAGGAGCAAGGAGTACTTGCTACATCTGAACATATTCACAATATCATTAACTGTATGTAACTCATCAATACCATCAGGCAATTATTCTCAGGATTTTGAAACTGTATTGATGTCCACCATTGATCAGGTGTTTACAGTGTTCCAGTCAACCGCCGTGATAAAGCTGGAATATTGATGACAGCAGGGCAAACAAAGCTGAACAAATTAGGCAATATCAAGCAACTATATAATGGCGACCAGTAAATAATCAAGTCTGCATCAGGTAAACCTGACTGAAAAGGTCAAACACAAATGCCTGTAGCATGACCTTTACAATACTGAAAACAAACGTATTTCACCTTGGCTGACATAACTTGTTTCCAATGAAGCCCATCGCAGCGGTAGTGATTAGTAAGTAAATACACGATACCGAACGACTCAATGAATAGATTTTTATTATGCCATGAAGCAAACACCTTGAAAACAACACGACAATTAAGTCATCAGAAGATAATAAATACACACTAAAACAAAAGTCCAGAAAATAACCAGTCGCGATGTTAGGTGGAAAGATTCCATTGAGCGTAAAAGGGAATTATGACTGAAAAACATAAATGTCACCAGGTTTTCACGAAGATCGTACGCATGTCCTGCCCTACCGGTAGCACCCGCCACTCAATCACACAATTTGCACAATAAGTGTCTTAGTGTTGCCTGAAGGATTCATTGATGCGACGACGGTCTGTAAACAAACCGAACAATCGAGTGATCAAGAATTTCTATATGTCTGTATGTTTCCATAAGTTATTGAGCATATTATTAAAACACCTATGTCCTACATAACTTCATTGAACATGATAACAATCACTATTATATAGATAACTCAGATTTATGTGTTTGGGATTTCACATTCAGACGTGTGATGTCGAGTTAGAGATGTTCCAAATCTGAGAAAGTTCCGTTGTCACAGGCCTATCCGGCCAAAAACATACATATTATATATAGACACAGTTGATATTTATGAAACGTATCCACCAGAGACAGGACAAACAACCCTTTAACAAATTGTGCAGAAGTCCCAGTCAGCTGCCGAGGAAGAAGCGGAAGTCTCCTGGCCACTTCCTGTCTGACATTCTCCAGTCAGTCTGTTGTAGTTGAAGAACAGACAGTTGTGGAGTCTGTAACAGTTGATGCTGCACTCCACACGACTTGAAGCATCACCACGTAGCATGGTGATAGAGGGGTCATCCAGTTTGTGGCCTTCTTTCACTTGTACCTTATTCCTCAAGCATCCACCTGTAATTATCAATTCGTATACAAACATGTGTATCTAATGACACAGCTTGTGATTTAGTGTTATTTAACGTCAGTCAGCAACATTCCAGCTCAGTATTAAAAATAATTTAACCAAGACCTTACACATCAGTATGCTGATCGGGTACGATGACGACATCGTCCCACCCGTTCCATAACTTAGCATGAGGTAATTGGGACGTATACTCCTTTTCTGTTCAAGTGATACATGTAGTGTAAACGGCTACCAACAGTTAAAAGCTGCCGATATGCTGCAGTGGTCGAATCCCACACTGACTACCATTTATTTTGAGGATGCTTTTTTTCATGTCTCGATCACGTGTCATTGTGTCAATAACATTCGATACTTTAACTTTCTAATAGAAACAAGTATTCTGGTTCGGTCTTCATAACGTTTAGGGAAGTTGGAACACCCAAGAGCCCCATTAATAAATAAATGCCTCACCTACGCCCTGTCCAAACACTTGTATCTCACACACGGTCAGGTAGGTAGTGGAGGAAACTCTCACATATCTGGCCATGACCTCTTGTTTACACGCCACAATCTTGGATGGACCTGTGAAACTGCCGAGCTGGTTGACGCAGACTTTCGGGGAGGATGCAGGACAAAGTGTAGGATGCTGAACAAAGCCCTCTATCTTAGCTTGCTCTGCATGACCTGTAACATAAAATGACAATCCTGCATATGCCGCAATCATTCTCTCACAGCTATGGTCGATGTGCATATGTCATTTGCTGATATTACCAAGGTCACTCTAATTCAAGCAAGTGAACATTTGTTTCTTTTCCTTGTTGTTGTCAATGCCACATCCGACAATATTTCTGCTACATGACGGTCTAGACGGTAGGTACCAAATGAAATCTCACCCGGATAGTCTGTTCTCCTGAACACATTGACGGTTGATATATTGTAGACATGAAGCAGGTCCACCATCCACCAGACGTTGCCATCTCGTGTAAGCATGCAGTGGTCAGAAAAGAAGTTCCCCCCTGTTCTTCCGTCCACAGCATAGGAAGAGTTGCTGCCTGGGTACGTGCTAGACTGAATGGTAGGTTTACCCAAAGCTACATTTGTCACAATACGTGCTGAAATAAAGTAGAAAGTTCGACCAATCCTTATATCGTTATAACAAAACTGTTTTAGAGAAAGATTACGTTGTAAGTAATTTTAAACGCTGGAACGTATTTCTTTCTTCACATTTATGTTATTGAAGGTTGTATATCTGTCGTCGTCGTCGTCGTAGTAGTACTAGTAGGTGAGGTGAAATGGGGTTTAACGTCGCGTCAAAGATTATTGCACTTATATAGCGACGTGCATGCACGTGTGTAGTAGTAGTAGTAGTAGTAGTAGTAGTAGTAGTAGTAGTAGTAGTAGTAGTAGTAGTTTGTTCGTTTGTTTGTTCGATGTCGAGTTACGCCCCTTCATCACCTTTGTGTTGCTGTAATCTATGATGCCCTATCCAGCTGACACGCCATGAGTTGAGCGAAGTACTAATAAATGTTAAACGCAAGACATATATCATGTTGTATATAAACAATGTGCGAATTCATAGGAACATCAAACATGAACCAAAGATGCTAAAGATTGAAAAGAAAGGTTTTAAACCAATAATATGCTCCATATTTAGGTAGTTTTGAATTTTAATCAGGATGTCAGGAGTCAACTTCATGTTGGAGAAAACACTATCTTTTTGCAAATTTCTGTCATTTAACATATTTTGAGAAATAAGTAATCAATGCTGATTTGACCTTGAATAAGAGCCTGGTGGAATGTAGGGAATGGAAAGATGAAGAAATGACTTAACTTACCTGTTGGATATGCTCCAGGAAGGAAATATACGATGCTATACAGCATACATGTCACAGACGCCATACCACAGCCACGCTGATACTGATCAAGCATCTGACTGAACATGATTTAATTGCCAATGAAGACTGAGACAGAAATAACTGATGATTAAATATGTAATATTTTTGTGGATATTGATTTAACAGGATGAGGGATCACATTGTTATTTACCATCTTAATGGCGGTCGGGACTGTATGAAGGCGAAACTCATATTGGATGATATTCATTAAACTATACATTGTGCTCACAGTGAAATCTTGATAATGTGATAGTGAAACTAATTCATGAAACAGTAAGACATACTATAAGACTGGGGCAGAGTTAGTGGGTTTTAATGCCCGGAGGCAATTTCACGACTCCCTTAGACATAAAACTTAGTATGTACACGCCAATACCGTGTGTACGTGTGTGCTTTTTTGTTTGTATGCGTGTGTGTGATCATAAATGTATGTGAGCGTGCGTACGTACGTACGTGCGTGCGTCCGTGATCTTGTTTGTCTTTGTGTGTGTTGGGGGATGTCAAATGGATTTGCCCAAATGGAATTTTCTTTTAACATCAAACATTTAATCAGACGACACCTTTGGCTCCTCTTGTAGATGTTGTCTAACTGTAGATATTTTCTACTCACAATCACATCTCTGTCTGTGCCAATCTCGCCGACCAGCAATAGCCACGTTTATAACACTGCATGATAGATTATGATAAGTAAATAGGACCATAAGCATGAAAGCCGTGATCAGAAGCTTGGAACAAATATGCCAACCGTGGTAACTTTTAAATTTGAACCCACATTCAGTGGCTCCTGGCACTCATGACATCCAGTATCGACACCTTTCACCATTGGGCGATCAGTGGCCTTTTAAACATGGGTAAAGAAACCAGCTATGCTTAGTTTCTGTGATTATGATTATTTGCTTATTCTTCCAAATGGGTAACATTGCAGCCAGGAATTCCAAGAGCTCGTGGAACTAGGAAGAGAAAAACACATGCATGTGTATGTAAAAACATAATTACTGGAACGTAGGTTTTCACTATAACTTCGCATCATGTGAACATTTCCTGACATGTGAATATTTTTAAGTTGTAGCTTTACATCTCAGCTCTTAAATACATACACTCTTCTGTATAGATTCTCTGTATTTCATGCTTCTAGGTTTGTCAGCACCATACCCGTGCTCGTGGGTTTCACCGACATGGTAAACGTCTGAGACCTGCATCACTTCAGGCTTTTCTCCCACATTAAGCTGACACGCCGCGATATAACTGGAATAATGTTGAAAGCGGCGTTAAACCCAACTCACTCACTTACTCTGTATATCATTTAATGCAAGTGAAATCAAATAACTGTGTCCCTGTGTCCATATGCTATCCGGGGACCAACAGGGACACAGCGTTGACCTCGTAGTTATTTGAAAAATAAGATAGTATTTATAGTTAATCGGGGCATCCGTGCAGAAGAGTGTACGTATTTACGAACGCAGCAATGAAATCCTGTTCACTCAAATGCTAGGTAAGTAATAGCGTGGCTGTGGTATGGCGTCTCTGACATGTAGGTTGTATAGCATCTTATGTTTCCGTCCCAGATGTTTCCACATCCCACATTTTCCCTGGCTCTTTTTCATGGTCAAATCTGCATTGATTGCTAATTTCACAAAAATGTTAAATGACTGAGATCTGCAAAGAGGTAGTGTTTTCTCCAGCATGAAGTTGACACAACGTCATATAAACTCCAAATCTACCCCTGAAATTAAATTTTGAAAAAAAGATACTGAATATGGAGCATATAATTGGTTTAAAACTTTTCTTTTCAATCTTTAGCATCTTTGGTTAATGTTTGATGTTCCTATACACATTGCGTATTTATGTACAAGATGAAGTATGTCTTGTGTTAATTCTGTGGCTTTTGTCAGTTCGAAATAGACTACTCCTACTCCTACTACTACAACGACTACGTTGACGACGACAGAAATACAACCTTCAAACCTTTAGTTCCCAATGATATAATGTGAAATTGAAAAAACTACCTTCCAGCGTTTGAAATTACTTACAACGTAATCCTTCTCTAAAACAGTTTTCTTATAAGGTTATAAGGATTGGTCATTTGTCACAAATGGGTAAACCTAACATTCAGTCTAGAACGTACCCAGCCGGCAATTCGTCCTATGTCGTGGACGGTAGAACGCGGGGGGTGGGGGGGGACCCGAGCCCTGTCTTTCCACCTAGAAGGGCTGGGTTAGCTTCAGCGAAAGCATATATAGTGGGAATCTCATTTTTATTTTCCTCATGTCCGCCATATGGTTGGAATAGTAAAAGACACATTATTTCACTTTCTTCTTGAAACGAGAAGAAGAACTGTCCTTGTTTCTTGTTGTTTAACACCAGACTCAGCAATATTCCAGCCATATGCCGGCGGTCTGTATATAATCGAATCTGGACCAGACAATCCAATGACTGACCTCATGGGCATCGATGTAGGCAATTATGATACGATGACATGCATCAACCAAGTCAATGGGCATGATCATCCAAATATTTGCTTTATACAGCAAGCCTTGGTTGCTGTTGCCCGGATCGGGGGCACGGGTGGCCCAGTCGTCTTAGGCGCCACGATTCCCTGTGCAGGGTTGCGTCTCTTGGGCACGCCAGAAACCTATGATTGTGGGTTCGAATCCCGGCATCAGATATTGCCCACAAAATGAACTACATGTTTGTCTGGTCTAGGCCGTCATGTAGCAGGAATATTGTCGAGTGCGGCATTAACACAAGGAAAAGAAACAAGCGGTCGCTTGCTTGTATTAGAGCGACCTTGATATCAGCAAATGACATAGACCTTAGCTGTGAGAGAGTTTTTGCGGCATACATGTAGGTCAATTCCAGGTCGTGCAGAGCAAGTTAAGACCGAGGGCTTTGTTCAGCATCCTACACTTTGTCCTGCATACCCCCGAAAATCTGCGACCAGTTTCACAGGTCCATCCAAGACTGTGGCGTGTGGACAGGTAGTCACATCCAGATATGTGAGATTTTCCTTCACTATCTACACTACTGCCTAGAAGTTCATTCCCCTTACACCCATTGGCAATGCGTTACGCAACACGTGTGCACCCCGTTGGTCACTCGTGTGGAACCCGTCCGCCACGCGTGTGATACCCGTGTGCAACGCGTGACACACTCATTACAGGGGGAACAAACTTTTGACCAAAGGTTGGTTGGTTGGTTGATTTGTTGTTTAACGCCGCACTCAGCATTATTACAGCTATATGACGGCGGTCTGTATATAATCGAGTCTGGACCAGACAATCCAGTGATTGATATCATGAGCATCGATCCACGCAATTGGGATCGATGGCATGCATCAACCAAGCCAGCGAGCCTGACCACCCGATCCCGTTAGTTGCCTTTTACGACAAACATAGTCACCTTTTACGGCAAGCATGGGTTGCTGAAGACCTATTCTACCCCGGAATCTTCACGAGTCCTTTGACCAAAGGAGGACCCGTGTTAAGCTGAACTTGGAGGTGGTAACAATGAGATATATTTTATTTTTTTTCCTGACGAAAAATGTCAACACACATTTAATTATATGTACTTGCTGATGTCTCATTTTTAGATGTGATTTTGTTGGACAATATGAGTACTTTTGTGGCTTCTACATGATGTTTTCGATATTGTCAAGAGAATACATGATCCTGGTAAATGTTATTGCTATTCAAATGCTTTTTGTGATTTGACATGACTTTCAGTGATCATGTTTATGAGGTTTGGCAGAGCGTTGTTTTTATTGGACCCTAATTACTTTATGATGGTTTGATCTCTTTGTCTCAGCTCCAAAGCCGTGACGCTGGGAATGGGCAGCATTTAATTAATGAGAGTAGGTTATATCATGGAGGATACACTCGAGGGAGAGGGTTCTACTAATTACCGTACCACAGAAAGATACCTGTAGACGTGAGCGCGGGGTTATAAGATGGTCGTTGCATAATGGATGCCAGGAGAGCTAAACATTGAGTGTTGTTTTAACAGGTTTGTTGAATATAATCCCAGCGCTACTGTCAATATATCTTCTACTTGATCCTGGATACATCATTTTGGCATTTACAATATATATTTTTCAACTTACAATAATGGTTTACTAGTCATATCTATTAGAGTATTTGTCAATGGTATTGAGCTACCAAGCAATAATTGTAATTTGTGGTGACATGTCAAATTAAAACATGAAGTCTCATTTAAAACATGACGTAAGTACTATAGTAAATAATGATATTCAAATCGCATTAAAATACAATGATACCGATGTAACCATAAAGCCTGTATTCCACATTCAGAGCCAGGAGGGAAAATTATTAAACAGAGTTAAGAAGCTTGCCCTTACTTATATGTAGAGACATTATCTGAATATGACTATATATGTAAATGTTACGATACTGTACCTATCTTCACGAATTATCAAAACATGGGCATAAGGTTCATGGAGACGAAGGCAATAGATACAATACCATATTCGACTTTTTAGATGATAAAGTACATTATTTGATAATAAATTCAGTTATTGATATCTAAAAACCGATTTTCTGTATCAATAAACATTTCATGATAAAAATCAAATCAAATTTGTGATATAAATTCATTCTTTGGTATCCATAAATGCAAATTTTTTCAAAAAAATTGTTTTACGGGAAAAAACCCAGTTGCGCTTCATGCGCGCTGCCCGGTTACACCTCATGGCGGGAATCAATACGTCACTTAAAAGATATGACGTAACGGTGACGTCATCCACGTTAGCGTCATCCACGTTAGCTTTCTGATTAACGCGCATCTCCGCTTGGATAGCCGCCCGCTCCAGACGTGTTTTGCCCTGTCTCATTTTAGCAACTTAAAATCAACTTAACTTTTCAAATCAAATCGTAAGTACGATCCTTTCTAGCATCTTAGTCTGTTGGATTGTTATCATTTGTGAAAATTTTCTGAATTGTAAAAAATTCAGCTACATAGAATGCCTGTGTCAGGACGTATTTTGATTGTAGGACATTCTTTCATTGCTAGA